CTAGAGTGCATCCCCGAACAAGGCCTACGCTGGACCGGGCGACCGCTTAGTACAATAGCCCGCAACGCATACAACCATGAACCTCGCTCTTACGATTATGTACTCAGTGGAGCATAACCACCGTGTTACGCCCAAGTTGAAGTCCGGAGCGCGTGGTTCTTCGGAAGATGTGTACATCATCACTGACTTGAATCGGTTCACCGATGAGCACAAAGGCGCGTCCATAGCTAAAAGAAACAATATGCGCTGTGTGAACATCTTGCAGGAGTTTGTCCCCTTCTCGCACTTTTACTTTCTTTGCTCCTGGTGAGATGCTCACGAGAACGTGTGAACTATTTCGGAATCGGTGTTTTGCGGATTGGGTTTAGTGAGGAACCAATCAATAGAAAAGTAGCCACATTAGATGTATTGATTGGGTATCAATATGAACGACACGGTCCGCAAATCAGAACATAAAGCAAAGATGAACATATGCTTTAGGTGATTACATACGGCAAACACATCAATTTAGAACTAAATTAGATAGGGACACGGCACACGACCCGATCGGTCGGGTCAGAATGATTTCCACTGTGACTGTGTTAATATTCTTTGTGTGTGTGCATTGACAAAACGAGCATTCGGTCATTCGGTCACATTGCGCATCTGTCAATCTTACCAGAAGACCAGCTGCACTCGTCCATTTTGTTACCGCTTAGTGATAAAATAAGAGGTAGGCAGAGTATCTTTTATAGGACACATAAATACTTGCGAATGGTTGCACGGTTATTCAAGCTATCCTGTTGGTCATGACGTTTCGATCTCTAACGCGGAACTCAGTTTCAACTATAGACCCCATTCATGATATTTATTCACACTACACGTTTCCGGTTCGGGGTAACCGGATATTCCGAACAGTAATAAGTTCACACATGACCATGGAACTGACCTTGTAGAAGTGCATCACATGGAAAAAGGGATAGATACCAAAGTTGTGCTGGGCAATGACGAAACAATCGACGTAACAAAGACCCGTTTGTGACGTGTGCAGTGTGTATTGTGCATGCATAAACAGTGAACGCGAACGGCATGTGACAGTGAACAGCAAAAAACGCCACACGANACGCATATGAACCAAATGCTCGTGTCGTACCGGGGGAGGGGGGACAGGCTTGTCCCAATAGCACTTGGCACTAGATAAAGAATTCCTGTGTGAAATACACAGTACACACGAGGTGAGAATCTATTCGGTCGGAGAGAGAGAGAGAGAGAGGATAGAGAGCACTAAATGTCGCGCAGCTACAACACTCCTACACGCACAAAAAGTGATGCGCATTCTGCTGTTGTTGTTGTTCTGCTTCTTCTCCGTATTGACCGACCACCAGGCAGAAAAGCTGATGCAGTTGAACTGGAACGAATGTGACCCCCGGGGGTAACTAGTAAATTACAGCAAAAGCATACACATTTGCACTTCACTATCACTAGCGGTAAAGTTATGTGCATATAAAATACGTACTGGCGGTGGCCCTAATTGGCTGATGTGATAATGCAGTGTGGCAACACACACACACACACACACACACACACACACACTAACGAAGTGCACAAACAAGCCGGGCGATGCGGGAGCGATTATCGTACACGCGACAAGCATAGCGCGAGTAAAACCAGGGATACCGTCGGGTTCTTTTTTCCCCACTGTGAGAGCGCATTATAGTATATCGAAATGGTTGAAATTAATTTTGTTCACAAACCAATATGGTCAAACTAGGCGGCAGTCGGGAGTCGAATCCAAATAACCTCTGCCCTACTCATTGCCTTCTCGTGTTGTGGCGGGTGTTTTTCCACACCAAAGTGAAAGGACGAAAAGCCAATATCCGGGGGCGATAACTAGGTCAGTGAACCATTGGCAGTTCACTTAAGGGAGTTGGCTAAAAACCCTGGTTCCAAACAAACCAAAAACAGGCGTACGAGCCACACGCACACCTTCTGGTCGCGGTAGCGGTCACCGGCTTAATTGAGCACCAAGGTGTATTGGGCACGTTGAACGTCTGACCCCGTCCAAAGGGCGTATGATCCAAGGAACTGGACACCGGCCCCAAATGGACTGTGAGCTCCATCCTGTTGTCTTACAGGTTTGGCTTTCTAGCCAAAGGCCTCGGGTGGGGATCTCGAGGCTATCCCGCTTCCTTGGTCAGGACAACCGGGAAGTAACATGCCCACACAATCCAAGAACACATTCTTCAAATTTCTTTCTGTTCATATGTTGCGGTAGATTTGCCAGTTCTCTGTAACTGGTTGCGTGTTGAACTAATAACTAATAGAATCAACTGGCAAATGCAAAAATGCGAGCACTAAACACACACACAAACACAGAGATGCAATGAAAAGAAGACCGCGCTCAAAGTTACATGCCCATCTATGTGGAAAGATAATAGTACATGATATGTGTGTATGCGTGTTACAGTTACTTTTGCTGAGACAAAGAAACGAATGTGCTATTGCTCTATTCTACTTTCCCCGTTTCCTGTCTTTCTCTCCTACAGCTTCATCCAAATGGGGGTAGCCAAAAGACAAGAACCAAAACCGGCGCACCAAAGTGTTGGGTTGTACAAACTGAATTGAAACGGTAGTGCCCCAGAATTAATAGCCACAGTTTAGATCATATATGTAGTGTTCAAGATAGACAGATATCGATCGGGGGGAGGGGGTGGAGAGGGAAGGGACGAGGAAAGTTCATCCAAGCGTACACGGTCCGTGTCTAACATGTACTCTCGTATGGAGAGAAGACAAGAAGGACAGTTGGACTTACACAGAGCATGATTGTCACACAACGCACGCTGGCGCATGTCACACAGGCGTATGGTCCCCTTGCTACTGCTATACACGAACAGAGCACATGCGGACGGATGAAACTGGGCCGCAGTGATCACCTCGGACAGATCTTCCATGTTATTCGGTTTGATATCCACAATATCTGCAAGAAAGTAAAAGGCACACACACACACACACGCACATACGAAGAACAAAGTCAAGGAAAATGTGAATAGATCTGGGAGGTCGTACCAAGCATTCATCATTGTGACCATTATTCACCACCAATATCACTCACTAATCGACTAATCTATCAATTAATCAGTCAATCAGGGAGATAGGGGAAGTACAAAAAGATAAAGCGGACCGATTGCAAACGAGGCAGAAATACTTTACTAACCGGGAGGGAGTAGAACAAGGAAAGGGTGTGTCGTGATCACGTTGGAACGATGTGATCGACCGTGATCACAAGTGAATAAGCTACGCTAAGAGAGAGAAATACCACGACGGAAACGGAAGTGGGGTGGAGACAACCGGGTGTGTATCCACAACACATTCGAACCAATTGACTGAGGCTAGCCGATAAACTGACAAACACAGGATTTCCAAGTTCGATGCCGAAAAAGTATGGCCGGAAATGCCATCACATTGCATGTGCTTGCGCTGGTGTGTGTGTGACCTCAATAAAAACACGTGTCTCGGGCGAGACAAGTGTGATCAAAATTTAACAGCCACAATGTTACGAAATGATGCGAGTCGATGTATATTAAACGGTCCACGATACAACTGTGGACACACCTTCACGACCAGTGCACCTTCACGATGAGACTGAAAACCTCGACGTGGTGTGATGGCTTGTGTATCTATCTGACCCAACGGGCTACACAGGATAGCTTTTGTCAAGGCGAAGATCTAATCATGCCTGGAAGGTCGAAGGGTAGATGTCGGACGAAGTCCAGTCTCCTGGTACTCCAGGTTGGGGTTCCGATTAGAATTTGCTTTTCAGCCGGTAAAAAATGACGCAGGAGTAATTGACCTAAGTAAATGGATCTCCACTTCACTTCACGCGCTGCCTTGCGGCTAGGCTCTTGTCAGAACTAAACGCTTTGGTTGAAAACTCTAATCGTTCTCTTGGCAATACCTGTCCATCAAACCCCAATGAATATGCATTGCGCATTTGGCACCGATCAGTGAAGGTTGCTGACCTGATGATGATGATAATTTCGCTATACAATGATGACGAGCTATTTTCAAGGTCTTTTTCCATCATAATCCAATTCCTCAGGTTACGTAATTAGGAAAAAAACGAATATAGCTGCGAGATTGGAACAGGGACAGAAAACAATAATCAGACCCAAACACAAACAAGTAATGACTAATCTAAAGCGCCCATCCAGCGGTCACTCGTGTCGCGTAGACTGGAGTCCAACTGATCACCAACAGACTGGGTCAAGAGAAAGGCTATAGAAAGATCGGGATCACCGGGTTTTTCGCAGCTGTCTAATAGTCCGCAGCAAACAGAAAGGCCGATTATGTAACCGGACTGCTGGATGTGTGATACATGTTAGAAAACCGGAATTTGGACAGCATACTCACATTCTATTTACAACTTTCGGTAGTTGAGGTATCTGACTATTCACACTGAACGGAGTGTCCGGATGGGAGACGATAAAACTAGGACGGAGGGGTAACTGATGACGGTTCAATGAGGTCAGATCACTTCATTGAATGCCCTATTGATAGATTGGTTGGGGAGGGTGTTGAAGCACCGAATCAACAAGGGCGACGCACGATGTGCTTGCAACACATGGGTCACGTGACCGGCAGGCAGATAATGATACTATTCCGTGACGAATCACATCTGACAATTGTGTGACCTGGTCTACGCGTAAATTCGCATTTCGTTTACAACTAGACAGAATGAAAGTGAAAAACGATTATTTAGTCTAATCCATTGGGTCAGCGAAAAATGAGTAGTACATGTGGAGAGACGTGTAAGCATACGCTCACAGTACACATGAACCGAACTATCAGAAAGGATACTGAAGGACTGATCGGTTATTTGCAAATTCCACAGGTTAATCCGCAAGTCGTCCGCGGATAGGAACGTCTCCTGATCGGAATTTACTGACAGGGAATTGATGAGATAAGCATGCGCGTTGGCAAAAACACGTCTGGGAATCGCCTCGACCGTCGGTTCGACGTCCTCGAAACGAGGCACACGTAGATCGGCTGGGGAACAGAAACGGGGAGTGTTTACACGGGAACTGTCGGATCGAATCGGACGGTCGGTATTGTTGTTATTGATCGATTCACTCTGATGATTATAGGCGGATGGATCGTCCAGGGAATTGGAATTGTACAATTGGTCTGGGTTCAAATTGTAGCCGGTGGCTCGTTTATGACGCTCGGTTATACGCCACAATTTGATAGTTTTATCTGAAATGAGAAGTATCGGGGGGGGGGGGNAGATCCATGTTCATTAAAATTTCAACGGATTTTGAAACACACGATGTCAACTGCATTCGTTTTTGTCACGTTTAATGCTATACACCTATCTGGTCTTGTTTGTTAGCTATGGCAATCTATGTAAGCTCGCCTAAAATCTATTCCTAACTGTATTTGCAGTTGGTCCGGCTCAGTGCAGCCGTACACGTGTCTGCTCAAGGTGCGGATCCCAGTGTCAAAATCGAGTTCTAGTGGCTCATCTATGTCACAGGCCTGTCGGAAGGTTCACTGCTTCGGTTCCTAGGGTCAGGATTGACAGTTTTCACGGCAAAACTCCAGGTTTCTGTGACCAGGTAGTATACTTCTTTTAGTAACACTAATTTAAACTGAAAGTACGGTAGGATAG